ATCAAAGCAGGAACAAAACTCATCTCCAATCTTATCTTTTAGTTTCTAAATTCTTCTTATTAATCCAGTATTTTCAAGAAATATAAACAAAGCTTTCAGTCTATTTCTTTCCATCCCTTGTTCTCTAAGAATATCTTCAGTTTTATTTTCTTCTTCCATTTCCTGACATTTCTGCCTGTATTCATGGTATTTATTGCATCTAAACAAGAACCCAGCGCTGGGTTATATTTAACCCAGCATTTTTTAGAGTGTACTCTTCCCTATTGTCTGTAATGTATCATTCAATCCAGTATGACCTAATCTCAGCCTTGAGTATACTTCTTCTGGCCTGTTTGCCATATTTATCCTTTTTCCTAATACTTTTGCTTGGTTTATATGATAATGTTTTTGCATTATTCCATATTTAATCTTGGCTTTAATATCTCCTTTTCCCATTGAAATATTAATTTCTACTTGCTCTTTTTCCAATGCTTCTTTTGCTATCAGCTTTTTCATTACCTTTGATACCAATATGTGCTGGAACGCAACAAAACTGAACTTCTAGATTTCTAATATTTAATAGTATATGTTTCAATGATGAAATTGTCTCTAACTGAAATACTGCTTTCTAAACTGTGTAAGGCTGCCATTGAGTCTGTACATATGACTGATTTAATTGGTTTATTTTCTATCTTAAGACTGTAAGATAGTCTGTAAGATAACCCATTTTTTTTGTTAAATTCTGGAATATAAATTCCTATGCCACAATGACCATTTTTGTTTTTTGACCCATCTGTAAATATTTTAAAATATCCGTAATATAATGAAGACAAATATATTTGGCCATATTTTGCAAAACTTTGATCATCTTGGTATTCTCTTTTCTCTTTTAGTAATTCTGTATTGATGTCTGAAATAGGGAGCATCCAGTGAGGAACTTCACTTAAAACTACTGCAGGGCTAAACACAAATTCTTTAATTCCAAATTGTTCTGCTGTATTATTTATATTCCAACCAAAACCTCAAAGGGGAGCTGTAACATAGCCACATATTTATAGCCTACTAAAATATTGGCTATTCGAACCAATCTACTCTTAGTATTAGTATAGGCCTACTTTTTTTTTTTTTTTTACAGCCCGTGATAATTAATACATTATAAAATCATTGTAAAAATTTAAAATTAGGCTACCTTATAAAGGACAAAAGTCATCCCACACCTCTACGTCTACTACTACTATCATCGCTTGGATTACAGCAGGGGTGTCAAACTCAGTTCCTGGAGGGCCGGAGTCCTGCAGAGTTTTGTTCCAACCCTGCTTAAACACACGTACCATGTAGTTTTCAAATAAGCCTGAAGGACTTTCGCTTGGATTACAGCGTCACACGCCATCTTTTTGAACGTGATTTTTCTTCAATCCCTCATTGAAGAAAAATCACGTTCAAAAAGAAGGCGCGTGCGGAAGGGGCGGAATATTTGACAAATTATGCTACAGCACTTATATTTTTGCACTGATTAGCTATTAACTGCGAACTGACAGAGTGTCAATCAATGCCTTGGAGAATACAGTGAACATAAATGAAATGAAACGAAGTTGCTTGTCAGGTTTCCTAACAAGCAACCATATTTTTTTAAATAAGCCCAAAAAACCACAACCTGCAACTTATAGCAAAATGTGGTAGTTCTGTATGTTGTTTCAGGGTTGGCATCATCTGAATGAGATGTTAGAAATTAGAGTTAACCTTTAATGTGGAAATATGTGTTGCCTTCTTGAGCATTAGTAAATGTTTCCACCTTTTGTAATAGCTGTGTATGAGTCCCTCAATTACCCTCAGTGTGAAAAGATGGATCTCAAAATCATACAGTCAATACTGTTGGAAAGGGTTCAAATATGCAGAAGATGCTGGAAAACCAAAGAATGTGCAGGAGCTGGAGGATTTTTCTGAAGAACAGCAGGCAGCTGAACTGTTCAGGACCAACAAGGGACTCATGAACAACAAAACAGAAAGACAGTCATGGATCATCCAGGAAACGACACACAGTATTAAAATTCAAGGGGATGTAAACTTTTGAATGGGGTAATTTTTTATCAATTTAGTTATTTTGTCTTGTGGAGAATATATAAACATCTGTTATGTGGAATAGCTTATTCAGGACAGTATTAAATAAACAATAACATGCAATTTTCATGATCCCCCTTAGTTAAAATTGTTAACATATTTGCATATTCTGCAACGGAAATGTAATCTTATGAGCATAACTGTATATATATATATATATATATATAAACACACACACACACACACACACACACACAAAAGAAGAACTTATAATTAGAAAAGTGGTTCTAAATGCACTTATTGAACAATGAGTGGGGAATCAAGCAACTACAACACAACTTACATGATATGTTTCTTTATTTCATAAACAGAAATGGTGTCTAGACAAAATCTGTCATTTATATAACACTAGCAATTGAAATGCATGAAAATGAGTCCTGCACAATACCGTATGTACAATGGTTTTTAAGTCATTAAATTCATTAGGGTCATGTAGCATTTCAAAATGAAAAAAAAAGGAAATATGAGCATAACTGTATATATATATATATATATATAAACACACACACACACACACACACACACACAAAAGAAGAACTTATAATTAGAAAAGTGGTTCTAAATGCACTTATTGAACAATGAGTGGGGAATCAAGCAACTACAACACAACTTACATGATATGTTTCTTTATTTCATAAACAGAAATGGTGTCTAGACAAAATCTGTCATTTATATAACACTAGCAATTGAAATGCATGAAAATGAGTCCTGCACAATACCGTATGTACAATGGTTTTTAAGTCATTAAATTCATTAGGGTCATGTAGCATTTCAAAATGAAAAAAAAAGGAAAAACTCTTAGTACAGAATAAGCAAAGAAACAGCTACCTCAAATCGACAATATTAACACAAAACAGTCTTCTAGAAAAAATGCGATAGAGTCAGAAAGAGAGATAGAGGAAAAACAACTCGTGTGACTACAAGCCAAAGAGCTATTCCATTAAAAATGATGCACCAAAATCTACCAATACAATAATCCATATAATCTGTGTAAAAAGCATGTAGAAAAAACACCTGATGCAGTTTGCTGATACAGTCATTGACCAGTAATGAGAGGTATGAAGGATTTCACAGGTAGATAAGTGTGAGAGAAAGAGAGTCCGCTCTGCTAGCCGAAACATGGGGGCTCACAGCCCCTGCATACACACTTCACTTGAATGTGAACTATGGCCTCTGGAAGTTCTAAGGCAAAGTTGGAGGTGCACTTCGTATTCATGGTACACTGGAGCATCCCCGTCGGGCAAAAAGACAACTTGAGGAAAAGGAGCATAGTTATCAAACGGCCATTTCTCTGTTCGCTTGTAAAAACGTACAAAACAAAAGACAGAATGCTAAACCTATCCATTCGAACGAGCCTCACGATTTCTATGTACATGGCAAAATTCTCGTAAAACACGACACCTTTTTGTAAACATTTTGCCTTTTTCTTATGCCGTTATCAGTCCGAATACTAAATGTTGTATAAAGTTAAGCAAATTGTGAAAAAGGCATGTTTTTGAGCAACCCTTTGGAACGCCAGTGTTCATATTTCAGAGGAGCAGCACGAACGAAACAAACCGACCAAATTATTCAAACAAATGACATTAAATGGGAGCTTACATAGATGAAGACATGTAGGGTGTTTTCTTGTACATTATTGGTTCTCAATACATCTACGAAGCTTAAAATACACGTCTTTTGAACGCAATTGCAAATGGAAAGCTTAAACGATTAGCTGTAGCAGCCAATTGACAACTAAAAATGAATTGCTGGATTTTATTTTGGAGACATTTCATAGCCCTTGTTGGGGTTTCATCCAAAATAACTGTGCAAATCTAGTTGGTTTTCTCTACGAAATTACGAATCAATTATTCTTAGCTTAACTCTCTTTAAAGAAAATTCTTAGAAACTCTAAAAAACAAAAAAAAAACAAAAAATCATGCTACCCACCCATTCATTAGCTTTATAAGAAGACACAAAAACGCAAGACACAAAAATACGCGAAGAACGAAAGCTGAGCTCACCAGCTACCATCAAAAATGTCTGAAAACAAAAAAAAACAACAAAAAAACCTTGGCACGCACCCTGAGACAAGATACAAGAGCAACCACGAGTCCGATATGAAAATAAAACCTCTGTAAAACAACAAAAACTAGCAGAAGTGTTGTTGAGAGGAGAGCTAATAAGCTTATTTAACCTGTGAGGCTTTCTGTGACCAGGACGAACCCTTGAAGTCACTGTGGATGCAAACATGATGCAGCTTTTAGTAACAGAGGTCAGAATTCCAATCCGTGTCACCCAGACTCCCGGTTTCTTCCACATCTGCATCGAAACATCCCCAGGCTCTTAAGGCCAAGTGTGCAAGTGTGAGGAGTCAGCCGTATCACAGACAGCACAGAAATAAACAAGAACACAACAAACACACTGCTATGCGAGGAACATAAATAAAAGCAAATTTGGGAAAATGTTTTTGGATCGCCTTGATGCAGGTGTGACCTTTCGTTTTTTTTTTCTCTCTCCAGAAATGTCAAAATTTTGGACATAGATTCTCAAGTGTAGGATAGTGTGCTTGTCAAGTGGAAGTTCATGCTTTACACGCTTCATTATTCATTATTTATACAACATGAAATAAGAAAAACGCATCATTATAGGGATGATTTGCATATGTGTGCACAAATGTCCACTTGGACCCATAAATCTTTAGTTCTAGTCTTGTACCTGATTACAATTTAGAAATGGCAAATACTGTTTCAGTTTCTTTAGAAAAAAAGAGAAAGAGAGAAAGAGAAAAAGATCCACAATGAAAACAACAGCACAACTATTCATCACAACACCTCTAGATTCTACATCCCAGGAGAGACACTCCACCCAATTTGACTTGTTTGTGTGTGTGTGTGTGTTTGTGTGGAAAAAGATCCACAATGAAAACAACAGCACAACTATTCATCACAACACCTCTAGATTCTACATCCCAGGAGAGACACTCCACCCAATTTGACTTGTTTGTGTGTGTGTGTGTGTTTGTGTGTGTGCTTGCACACCAGAGGGAGAGGGGATGTATTACAACTTGAAACGCATCTGAATATTTATCAATCAGACTGGCAAATACACAAGCACGCATACATAGAGCTCTAGGGGTCAACGGTCATTCAAATAATATAGAACTATGTCAAATCCAATATTGGATATGGGAGATCCCATTTGTAAAGAAAAACACTCTCAGTTTACTCTCAACTAAACCAGAGCAAACAACCATTGAACTGTTTTTCTGAGGCCTACATTTTGAGGCAAAGAAACTCTAAACCAACTATATAAAACAAACTGGCAGCATGCAATCCCATTAGTATGGATATATGTGTCTAACAAATGTACAATAAAGGGACATATAGGATGACTTTAAAGAATGGGCTTATTCCACCCATCTCAGATCAGATTTTCGATGCTTTTTAAGATTTTAGTGTCTTCCATAAATATGCAGTTTGAACACTCCCTTATTTTTTTTTCATTTAAATGAACCTGAAAACGTTCTTTATAAGATACCAAGTCATTAAAGATCATCTGCCTGAAAAGACACTTTTAAGTGTCCACGTTAAGTGCTTCAATTTCAGACTTTTTAGGGTCCTGAAAAAGAAATCTACCCTTTCTGAAGTGCTAAACGGTCAAAGAGTGCTGAGGGAAGGAAAAAAGTCAAGGGCAAGGCCCTTTAATTGATTCAACATCATTTCCTGTTCCTGTCAGAGCGGTAAAATGGGCCAGAACTGAAAGGGTGTGGGATCGTGACGACGTTTGTTTTAGATAACACTGTTCGGAGGTGTCCGTGAACACACTGTAAATACTGATAAGAAATAAGGTTTCCTCAGAGAGCACTTTTTCACATTTAAAGGAGAACAGCTCACCATTATGCACACCATTTACAGCCAAATTACATGCAAGGGGCTCTATGCGCTGCACTGGGGGGGTTCGTATGCGAGCGTGTGTGTGCATGCGTGAGTGTAAGAATGCTAGTTTCCTGAGTTTAAGCACACCCATCGTCATGGGGAATTCATTTGAGACAGGAAACAGCAACAATTTTCCCTTTGTGACAAAAAGTTGCTTGATAAAACCCCAGAGAAAAGAAAGCAAAGAAAAACGAAAAAGCCATCTAAAGTTCTACCTGTACAATATTACCGAAACCGTCTACATGCGCCGCACTATTTACAATAAGCTTTCTGCTGAGCAAGCACTTCTCGAAAACATCCAATGGTACAGTATTGCTGACGCAAAAGGTGGGCGAAACTACGATGCGAATCATTCGTCTTTCTGTCGTACTTTCTTTCATATCAGTGCTGTGGAAGGCAAAGGAGGAATGTTTTAGATACCACCATCTGTACACATTAAGTGTTGCGGTACACAGACACTACAAACGTATGATGCAGAAGACATTTTTGCATATGGACATTTACAGTCTAGCTGCTGTAGAAAAAAAAAAATCTGTATTATTTTTTTTTTCATGAGTTTTACTGAACATTCAGAATATTTCCTGAGTTTGAATTTACTGTGACAAGGGCCACAAAGAGAAAGAGAAGAGAGAAGGAGTGGTAGAGATTTAGAGGTAGAGGGCAGGAATAGTGAACGTGGGTGGGGTGGGGTGGGGTGGGGAGAAAGACAGAGAGAGAGAGAGAGAGGGAGCAAAAAGCTGCTGCTAGGTCCGTAGAGGTCTGAATTTGAGATGTGGTCAGAGCCCATCCCATCTGAATGGACTGTAATTGGAAACAGACAGTGTTGCCACTGTCATGGAAAGGTGTAGCACCATTGTGAAGTTCTGTGAGAAGGTCTCAGCCACTCTGCCATGGCTGAATGAGAGAGAACCTGGAGAACAGTATTGCTGCTGTTAAGACAACTGTAGTGTCAACCTTTGTTTAAAAAAAGACATAAATATATATATATAAAAAAAATCAAAAACACTGGCAGAGGCTGGCCATCTCAACAGCCCTCGATTTTTGAGGGCTTGTCAGAAGACATAACTAAATTAAATAATAAAAAAAACATCAACAAACAAATCAACACAGAGAAACCACCGTCATTAGGTACAGTCCTTGCTGTTGGGCTGTTCGTCGGTTGTACATTTATCTGTCATCTCCTGACAGAAGTCTACGGTCACCGTCTGATTGGACTGTTCCAGGGACAGCCCCGCCTCCAGGTAGGCGGAGCCAGGTTCTTGCTCCTCCCTGTCGTTGCTTGCGTCTTCGGACCCGTTTCCGGTCTTCCACTGGGCCGGTCGCGGTTGACCGTCTTTTGCGGTGGCTGATTTGTGGAAGCTCTGTTCGGGGGTGGAGCAAGTGGTGAGGTCGATGCTGCCGGTGGGCAGGGCCTGGTTGCCGGGGCGCAGAATGGGGCAGTAGTGATGGACCTGTTCTGGGCTCAGCTGCACGTCTCGACACACCTCCTCAGATAGACAGGAGAAATTCTCCCATAACTCTCCCATGCACGCCTTCAACTGGTTGCGCTCTGTTAAGAGCTTCTCCTTCTCACACACCTGTGGGGTGGACACACAGAAAACACACACACATTTGGTACAGTTCATTTACATTTTGACTAACTGTACAGACCGTATATTCTATTGCCCTACACCAACCCTACCCCTAAACCTACCCCTTACAGGAAACTTTGTGCTATTTCAGATTTTCAATACACTCCATTCTGTGTGATTTATAAGCGTTTTGAAAAGTGGGGACATGGGGTAATGTCCTGAAAAGTCACCTTCTCCTTGTAATACCTATGTCATACCTTTGTCATTATACAAATTTATGTCCTCATTTGTCACAAAAACGCGCACACACATTTGAAACCTGTGTGCAGCACAGTTCACACACTTTTTGACTAATAAATAACCATGATCTTGCATGAACTTTTTGAGTTGTTAATGATTACGAATAAATATTTTTAGACATCCTTTTGCAGAGACTGCTGGGCACATTACTTGCACATTTGTATGTCAAGTATCAGTTTTTTGAATGATTAGATTTACTTTATCTAATAAGTGTGTTTTCACCCTCAACTGGTAACCTAATGTGTCATGTTTTTCAGTGCAGCGTAAAAAATAACTATACTTAATATAAATAAAATAATAATAATAAATAATAATAATAATAAATATTTTTCATATTGAATATAATTCTATATGTATATACATACAATATGTAATAGTTTTATTCAGCAAGGATGCATGAAATAGACAAAAAGTTTTTTAAATGATTTATAATGTTACAAAATATTTACATTTCAAATAAATGTTTTTTTTCCTTCTAACGTTCTATTCATTAAAGAATCCAGAAAAATATCAATATAAGAAATGTTTCTTGAGCATCAAAGCAGCATATTAGAATCATTTCTGAATGATCACGTGACACTGAAGAATGAAGAAATTGCTGCTTTGCCAACACAGGAATAAAAAAAAAAAAAAAAAAAAAAAAAAAAAAATCATATATATATAGTGTGTGTGTGTGTGTGTGTGAAAAACAGTTTGTACAATGTAGGAAGGTTATTTTAATTTGTAATAGTATTTCACAATATTGCTGTTTTACTGTATTTTTAATCAAATAATGCATCCTTTGACAAGCATAATAGACATTAAAAAATCTTACTGACCACAAGCTTTTGAACGGTACATTAATAATGTTGTAATTTTTTTTAATTTAAAATGCACTGAAATATTTCATTATATTTGTATTGAACATAAATATAGTCACTAGTCAAATAATAGAAATGTCCATGACTTTTAAAGATTTTACTAAAATGACTTTTCCAAGCCTGAAAAATCACCTTTAAAAATTCCCTGATATTTACATATTCACAGTTTTTTAATTGTATGGACCCTGTACAGTAAAATAAACACTTATTGAGCATAATCATATTATGTATGTTTTCATTTAACATTATTTACTGTCTTTTAAGCCTGATGCCCACAATGAGGTGATTTCATGGTTTACTATTCTTGCAGGAACAGTTTTGGTCCCCACAACATAGTCAAAACCTGCTCCACACGCATGCATACACACTTTGTTATGAATGTACAGTGATCTATAGGGACCAACTGAGTTATGTAGGTCACCCTGCAGCACTAACACTGTCTTCCCGCTCTCAATCTCCATTGAGATCTACACACTTCACACATCTCCCTTCTGCATAAATTCATTCATGCTACAACTTCATTTCAGTTGAGCTTTAATATAGCTGTCAAACTCTGACGATAAGAGGATGGAAGAGCAGGAGGAGGAAAAGAAGAGGAGCAGAGGCATTTCTCCTGCTGCTGTCTGCGAGATTATATAGAGGATGCAGCACATGTGGCATCAGAGCGCATCATACACATACACCGCATCACACAAAGACAGTCGGCTCTGCCTCCATCATGGAAACAGCATGGGACCGGCTCTGTGATTGACAGGTAGCGGTGTTGCCATGGCAACGTGACAGCCTACGAGATAAGGTCCCCTGCCACTTGTGGTGATTGATAACAACCTGAAGGCCGATGTGTAAAATAAAGATGTTGTGTCACATACAGCAGGACAGAGACATTGAGGTGTTTGTGTGCTTACCAGTTTATGTATTTCACACTCAAGGTTCAGGATGCAGTCAAGTTTCCTCTTGCGGCAGCGCTGGGCCGCGATGCGGTTCTTACTGCGTCTGCGCACGTCGTGGATAAATTCCAGCTGCTCTGAGGTCAGCTTGTGCATTTTCACCATCATTTGGAAGTCGTTGCGTGGAAGATTTGTGATTTGATCGACTGGGAATGGAAGCTTGACCTGTAAAGACATACATGAGCAAAGCGTTATTCTGTGATCTTTTTGCTCTTCTTCCTGAAAGCATTTCTATGTCAGAGCTCAACTGATTGACAGTTGATGGCAGAACAAGGGAACTCGACACAATTAGCATCACACAAGGTTTTTTACTATGCCATTTGTTTGAAAAAAAAAATAAAAATCATCCTTCTTGGAAAATGATCTGCGAATTCTGATGAAATAAAAATGTAACCGAACTTGCAATGTATTTCATCGCCACTAGATGGAGGCAGAACACAGTTCTTCACATGTTTCTCAAGAGTTCTAACATCTCAAGCTTACAACATCTACCAGCATCACTTATTAACAAAGAGGTCAAAAGCAAGAAAGACAGACAGGAACAAAAACTGAGAACGAAGAGTGAGAAAGACAGGAACAAGAAAGCATCTTTCTGTCAGAGAAATGAGATCAAATGCTCAGCTACTTGTGTCGTTTCTTCCTCTGTTTCACATTCCTGTCAGGTGATTACCAGAGGGCATGAGTATGCAAATAACAAGTGTTAACGAGGTAAGCTGTCAGTGGATTCTGAACATATCGCTGCTTACATACACACACTCAGTGGAGTAGGAACTCGTGTCTCCTTCATGTACGATGAGCGTTTGGCAGTATAAAGCATCATTTGACTTCTCTCCATCATGGTCTGGAGGGCTTTCTGAGGGCATGTCATACTTCGACACCCTGCTGTTGTCAGAGTGAGCTATCACAAGGGATAAATGAAGGAATGAGTGTCATGAGTCAAAGTGAGAGGGAGCAAGAACCAGTACGTAAATCTGGTGATATACAAAATTTTTGAGAGAGATCACCTTTGTCTTTGTACCTGCTTAACACTATGTTTCTGGTGACTTCTGTCTGTACGATTTTAAAAGTTTTGGGGTTGGTAAGACTTTTTTAATATTTTAAAAAGTCACCAAGTCTGCATTTATCTGATAAAAAAATCAAGTAAAACAGACATATTGTGAAATATAATTACAATTTAAAATAACAGTTTTCTATTTAAATGTGATTTATTTATTTTAGCAGTCATTATTCCAGTCTTCAGTGTCACATGATCCTTCAGAAATCATTCTAATATGCTGATTTGGTGCTCAAGAATAATTTCTTATTATTATCAATTATAAAATAAGTTTTGTACTTTTTGTGGCTTTTTTCTGAATTCTGTGATTAATAGAAAGTTTAAAAGAACAGCATTTATTTGAAATGGAAATCTTTTACTGTCACTTTTGATCAATTTAATGCATTCTTGCTGAATAAATTTATAGTTTTTATCATTTATTTTAAATACCATATGGAACGATGGTACATAACTGAAAATTATACAATATATGGGTAACCTTTTCAATTATCAGTTGACATTAAAGATTTTTCACATCTACTGGTATTGGCCAATTTTAGGTTTTCAGATGTGTTCATGCTCATTTCCCCTATATTTGCCTTTAAAATTACTCTAATGCACGCTTAATATTTAAAATGAATAATTCATGTTTAAAACACTTTTAATGTATATCTCAAAATGTATATACAGTATATATATCTTCATACTGCACATCAAATGTGTAAATTCACTTGATGTATTTAAATCGGCTAATTTTAATTTGGGGATTTTCTTTTTAATTTATTCCACAAAAGAAAATTACAGAATTTTAATATCGGCTATTTTTCGGTTATTGGCCATAATATGAAAATAATCTCACATAAACTAGAGTTGTTAATGAATGAGGCAACCATAGTGTAACCAGTATACTGACTATAGTACTGCCCTACTTAAAAACTCACATGGGCTTTGTGTGATTATGACCCCATAAACCTGAACCACAGCGGTGCAGCTACTCTTCCATGTGAAGTGGACCGCTCTGCTGGGAAGCCCACGGTGACTCTGGTTGAGACTGAGAGAAGATGAAAGTGTAGATCTGGCTCAGTCTGGCACAGAGCAGCAGGGGGCCCGGAGCACTGGCAGGACGGCCCGTTCTGTCTCTACGGCATCATTAATAAATGATGGACAGACCTTTTTCTACCCTCACAGCTCAGCTGACATCGAGAATTGCTCCGCATACATGATCAGTGTGATTTTTATGTTGTCTTGATCTGATTTTTTAGATGGAGAGAAATGTGTTTTTACACGGTCCAAGGAGACGCTTTCTTTCTATGACCTTCTCATGTGTCCTTCCCCTCTCTGGTATATCGGTTTGAGGGGTGTGTGTGTGTGTGTGTGTGGCAGTAGCGTAAGAGTGATGTCTATATTTAGAGTCTTACCACCAGAACCAGTTTAGAAAGCTGGCAGAGATGACAGAACACACACCAGCGGCACTTATAAATTCAAACGTGATCCTGATTCTGTCTCTCTCTCTTCTCTTGTCCCTTTACTCTTTCTATAGGTCATTACTCTTGAAATGGGTCTGCAGTGAAAAGTAGGACTCATCTGTTACTGGGAGCAAAGTGTCCCCACTCTTTTTGTCCCTTCCTTCCTTTCTCTTAGTATGGACATCTGCAGAAGGGAATTGTGGGAAGGCGATGAACAAAAGAGATGACTGGAATGAGAGAGGCCAAATGCCTGAGGTCCCACACAAGATATTTTAGCAATATTATCAGCACACCGTCTCTATGATGAGCTCTTAATTTCCTGTCTAATGTGAGTAAAAACTGTGGAAATGCATTTTAATGTGCAAATAACAAGAGAAGTTAGCCGTCTGGTCAGTTAAAATGCCTTTAGAGGTAATTAGATCATCTATTTGCTAAATATCATTACTGTCCTTCAGACATTCCCAGAATCGTTACTGTGCTGCTATGCATCTCTTTGTTTCACATGTCTTGGTAATGAGACGCCATGTGACACAGATAAGAAAACAGTCTGAAACACCCCCTAAGATATTCCTCTTTTTTTAACCTTCCCTCCTTTCTTCTCTTGTTTTTCTTCTCTCAGCCCTGTTGCTATTACTGGAACTCTCCACAGGGGCTGAGTAAGCGCTGGAATGTGTGTCCTTCCCTCTGAAGGTGAAGAACACACACACACACACACACACACACACACGTGCATGCATCCCCCCTCTCAAAGACACAGGACAGACACGCATGCACACACTCACTCTGTCTGATGGAGTGATGGGCCTGTCTGTGGTCACCATGGGGCTTCCTCCCCATCAGGACCAAAGCGTCTACTTGTGCGTGTATGTGTATGCCTAAGATAAATGGCCTGTATGAATGCCTGTCTAGGTCAGTGGTAAATTCCTAATGTAACACATCTGGAGTAAAAAGCACCATCTTGTAGGAATGAAATTCTTTTCTCTTAGATGGCAATCAGTTTAAATGAAGAGCTAATAGAGACTTAAATCTCCAGCTTCTCAAATTTTTCTCCTGAGAAACAGACCCTAGTAATCTCAGTCGGTTTCAGAGGAGAGCTCAACAGTGTCTTAAACTGTACTTGGATTTGCCAAAATATCAATTAAATGCCAGAAATTTCAATGTGACCACAAGTTTCCCATTCTAAAATATTCCAAGACCAAATTATCTGAGTTGTATAGCTTGTGTAAAAACATATAGCTCTTATATACTTTTACTATAAATTAAAAACTGTACCTTTTTTAGATTTAACTTTTGCTAATACAGAATTATTGGAAATTATTACTATTTAAAATAACTGTTTTATATTTAAATATAATTTAAAATTTAATTTATTCCTGTGTTGGCAAAGCTGAATATTTAGCAGTCCATACTCCAGTCTTCAGTGTCACACAATTTTTCTTGCTGATGCTGATTTCTTAGTATTATCAGTGATGGAACAAGTTGCTGCTTAATACTTTTGTAGAAACTGATTTTTTTTTTCAGGATTATTTTGTGAATAGAAAGTTCAAAAGGACAGCATTTGTTTGAATTTCTTTTCATTCCTTTTTTTTGAACAAAAAGTTCAAAATGGCTAAATAGCAGAGTTATTTGACTGATATATCAATCTAGTACTAAATGAACTAAAACTGAAAAAAGAAGCAGAAATTTCTCATGGTAATGTTTTAAATCTACACCTTTGATCATGTTTACTAAAAAAAGTTTACTATAAATCATTATTCCAACATAACAAACTGCAGCGATTTACACTCCATGTTTTTTTTTATATCTAAGCAAGTTTCAAATTTAACCGAGTTTTAGATTGACTCTAGACATCCATTCATTAAACAGAAACATGTAATATCCGATTCTACTTGAACAAACAAACAGTGAGCTTTCGTAATATTTCAGTTTTTCACCTTGAGCATATTTTAATCGTGCGGTTTTACAGTTCACCAATGCAACATCTGACGAATAATTCGTAGACCACAATCGGCTCATATTGAGAGAGCGGCTTGGCTTTAAAGACGGAATGAGAGGAACAGAAATGGTTCTGACTTCACTCCTCACTTCCTGCGGTGCATGTAGCTAAAGGGTTAATGCTTCTTGCACCTTGATTTTGAAGAATGAGAATGAAGAAGTGAGAGTGAGATTTTCGTCTGTGGGCTTTTCTGATCACACCCACTCACTTCGAGATCAATACTTCACCCAGTGTAACCGAATGACTAAAGCATAAAGAAAATGTTGGAGAAATCTTCTCAAAGATCTCAAGATATGATTATGGCCCTCAGTAGGGCTTTTTTAAAAAACATTTTTTTACCTCAGGACCTTTTTTTTGCCCCCTCTCCTGAAATTTCTGCTGTCAATCTACAGTGAAATCTTCAGGTAGCTGTTTAGGAGTGAGTTGCCCTTAAAAGCAGTTAAGACTTCACTCCTTCAGTATCTTCTTGGTGTCAATTGAACCTCAAAAAGTATATATTATTGTGTGTGAAACAGGTTCAAGTAAGGCCAAATCAAATGATATGGGAATACAGCTGCTCTTGGACCTCAGCTCTTCCTGTTTGAATAGGTGCTGATCGCAGAGGGTAAGTGATACTGTCTATGACTCATGAAGGAGAGAGAAAAGTTCAAAGACCTGGTTTAACTCCAGTATCTAGACTAGCACTATGATTAGCCTACAGTTTAACAACTTCCTTCCTCTCTTGAATTCATTGTTTGGAGCAGCAGGCTGAAGCTATTTTTGAGACTGTGTTTCTCTCTTTGTGTGCAGATACTCCTCTCTCTGTCATGCTCTTTCTCTCACCTGCCATTTGCTGTAAAACCACAGAAAGGACAGAGTCTCTTCCCTCAAAAGTCTGTTTATATTGTGTTTATACTGTCATATCTCTAGGGGAGAGAGCAAGTAAAAAAGAAAGAGAGAGACAGAAAGATGGGAGTTTGTTTATCTATAAGCAAGGGGTTTTTATAAAAACGAACAATTTGTAAACAAGTTTTTGGTAAGATATTAAGTAGCATAATTGTTTTCAACATTGATAATAAGAAATGTTTCTTGAGCACTGAGTGAAAAAAAGCCAATTTACAGCATATGATGCATGAAAAGAGTATGAAAGCTAGCGCTTGCTCTCGATGAAGTTTCTGAATGAAAGAAGCGAGACTTTCAGTCCTTTTAACAGACTTTTGTCAGCCTAGCTTCAAATAAACGGTCAGGTTGTAAAACAACAGTGAGAACGAAACTGAGAAGAAGAGTGAACTTTGGAATGAAATGGTATTTCAGATACTAGAGTGTCATGAGAGCTTTCAGCATCAGCAGCTATCTGAGATCTTGAACATCTGGAGATACAATTCCAACTCCATTGTACCTGAAACTAAATGAAGCCATTTAGTGAAATGAGTAATCTTTAAGTGAATTTTGGTCTGTTGCTGAATGCAAACTGGAAAGAGAGAGTAAACTAGTTAAACAACAAAGCTCCATTGTAAAGCCAAATGAAGAGTCAGATGTTCTGACATTAGCATCTGGCTTGTCTAGCTGTTCGGATGCTGCACACAGTGTCTCGTGTCTTTTAAGCACAACACAGAAACAATGCACAAACTGCTGGAAACTAGCCAATTCATTCCTGAGTGCTCAGTGTTGCCATGGCAACGGACCAGTTTCTCAATCATGGCCCCTACATGCATTCCTAAAAGGTCTCATCTCCAGTCTATAAAGATGAAGATCTCTCATTCTCCTTTATAGTGCTTCACTCTTTCAAAATATATAACATCATCCCTAGTGAAATCTCGCTCAACTCGCACTCAGATCAGAAAACATCCTCTAACCAACTTCACATAAGTGTTTATCCATTCTTTATCTTCATACCAAACCTCATAAACAGTCTTTTATCAATGTCTCGTCTTCACCATCAAAGGGAAGCTTCTTTAGAAAGACGATGAGAGATATCATATACTTTGAGCTTAAAGAAGCACTGGGGCTTGGTGTGTGAACATATGCTCTGATTCTCGCTTTAAAATTTTCTGAGGATGAAGCTGTGAATTGTAGCTTACTCTGTTACATTACACATGACTCTTTTGCCTACAGTATGGCTATATATATTTTTGACCTATTCTTAGCTGCCCTATTTTGCACTGTTTTACTTTTATCTTCACTTCATCATTCCATTGTACTGTACATTGCCATGTTAACACTGAGACTGAGAAAAATGGTTTTAAAGTTTTAGATTCAATTTTGATTTGAACAATTTTAAAGGGATAGTTCTCCCAAAAATTAGAATTCTGTCATCCTGTATTCATGTTATCCAAAACCTGTATGACTTTCTTTGCTCTGTGAACATGAAAGATATTTTGAAGAATGTTTCATCTGCTTTGTTCATATAATAAAACTCACTGGGGTCCAAAGATAACACAGGACCCCACTGACTTTCATTATATGGACAAAAAACATTGAGACATTTTTAAAATAACATCTGTCTTCTGCTGAACAAAGTAAGTCATACAGGTGCTCATAACAGCATGAGAGTGATTAAATGATGACCAAACTGTCATTTTTAGGTGAACTATCCCTTTATCACTTTCTCAAAATCTGAGCCAAGCTCTTCTGTCAAAGGACAGATCATATTTTAAGAGACCCGATTTCAGTCATCGCTTACTGTGCTTTCCCTATACAAAACTTGATTGTCAAATCATGTTTGCTCCTCTCTGATTTATTCCACACTATTAGCCTTTTCCAGGCAACACAAAAGGTCAGAGTACGTTCATGTCGGTCCAGACATTAAAATTATTACAGTGTTTATTGGCCCATTAGGAGTCTGCAGCTCTATTCAATGAATAGGGCTCAAAGGGGAGGTCTGTGATAGCATGAGGGTAGAGTGCTCAATCTAATTGGTTTCTGAATGAATGGACTTCAGGGTATGAGATGCATAGTGTGCTTCTGGAAGGACGACTGTTGGACAACTGGTAAACACGAGAGAGAAATCTAAAAGACTCACCTCAGGGCCTTGCTCTCGAGCATGACATGATTCACTGTCCCCCTCCGAAAAGGACCCTGACTCATCACTGGAATTGGTTCCATACGACTGCTCGCACTTTATCTTGGGCCGGACCCGTGCAAATAACTCATCCGTCCCACCGCCTGCCTCCTGCGGGTCAGTCGTGAGACACCGTGTCACATTGGGGCAAGGCGAGGACGAAAACTCGAACTGCGGCAGGCTGCAGGGGGACCCGCCGCTCCCGTCCTCAGCATAAGAATATGACGAACAGGAACTGGAGGTCCGAGTTCTGGTCTCTGAGGGGGGCGATCGCGGGCATACCTTGATTGGCACTGGGCAACTGGTATTGGGCCTTTGGCGGCAAAGCAGGGGTGGGTCGCTGGCTGTGGTGCTGGGGGAGTAGGTCTGGGAGCTGGGGAGGGACTGGCTGGCGCCGGCCCACAATCCCTTTGGCATGTGTTCTGAGAGCTCCTTCTCCAGTGAGTTCCCACTGGGATGGGAGTGGGTGGGTGTACCCAGTCGGTCACAGGGCCCTGAGGAGAAGATGACACTGCGGCGGTCTGGCTCCACCTCTTGCTTGCACACACCATCGCAGGGAGCTGACTTCAACGAAAGCCCTGGCGGGAAACCATCTGCGTCTTTGGGGAACGCCACAGGCATGCCAAGCTCATTGCCAAGCGAAAGCCTGTAGTCTTTTTTGTGGTCTCCCTGAGTGGTTCCTTTATCCTGGGCATTGACGAGTCTGTTAGCGAAGAGCTGCTGGGGTGCGCTAGGCAGGTCCTTCTTAAAGAGAGTTCGTAGGCAGGTGGGTGACTTGCTGCTGCCTTTCGGTTGGTCCACTGCAATGGAACCATCCAGTTCCATCTCGGCCACACTGTCCTTTTCACCACCATCCTGCTCATCCCCTGACAGGCAAAGCGAGATGGACTCTTCCTCGCTGCGTGGCTCCTTCTTGATTTGCATCACAGCTGGCCTGTTCATCTCCTTGAATGTGCTTGGAAAACCTGAGGTACTGGTGTGTGAGGAGGTGTCGTTATTGTGCTTGTTGCATGCCCACTGGTACTTCCTGTACTTAGGGCATCGTGGCAGGTCTGAGGTGCCTTGTCGTTCGAAGTCCATCCGTCCATCAGCGAACTCCTCTGTCGCTGCCAGCCGCTCATGGTCTGGCCGTCGCAAGGAGTTCAGGGCGAGTTCACGGCGAGAGCGTGGAGAGCCAGACAGGGTCACTGCAGTTGGCGTTGTCGTCAGCAACTCAGGTTGCATGCTCTCATCCTCCGAGTGATTGCTCTCAGATGCCATCTTGCGACAGAGGACCAGGCCGTCCTCCTCACTGCGCAGTTGGGCCTCCAGGAAGCGAAAGCAGGAGTCCTCCAGGTTGTGCATGCGCAGGAATTCAGCACAGCGGATGACCTCCTGGATGTTTTCTCTGCTGAGCAGCAGCTTAGCTGTATAGGCAAACTGTAACAATGGAGCGAATCCCCGGGCACTGACCTGCGGACACACACAGAAAGAACAGGGGAAATTGCCAATGTTACCATCAGCACTGCCATTGTTCAGGGCACTCGGAGTGTGCTGAGAGAACTCGACAGCTCAAATGACCGTAAACAAACACTGTAAAGTGCCAGTTAATCTTTTATCAGGTCAGCACCGAACGTTCTATACAGCGGGAAATAAAAAGTGAAAAGGTGGAGGCTGTCGTTAAGGTCAAGAGACCAACCTCATTTATGTAACAAAGATATCTGACATTCACCTCTCTAGGTTAAGCTTGGCTAGCGCCCCCAGTTTGTTGTGAATGGTATTGCAGCAACAGGTAAAAGCCTGTGGGTTTGTAAACATAATGTCACATCTATCCCTTGGGTGAGCCACCTTAAAGCCTAATGGGCTCTAGGACTCTTACAGCTTATCCCTACTACAGCCATCCTGAGCCTGCTGAGAGAGAGAGAGTGAGAAACAGATGCAGACAGAAATGGAAGCCTTCCATTTGACCTAATGCTAGATAATTATGTAAATGCCTGAGCCTGCAAAAGCTTGGCAGGCCCACTGTGGCCTTTGTGCTGTTAGCGCATGTGAGTAAGTGCATTTAGGTGGGGAGAAAATAATAACCCAGTCTCACAGCTTTTCAAGTTTTGAGATTCCCCCCCACCTTGTAAGATCTATAAACCCAGGCTCTATATAACTCTCTGTATAGGCTCACTTGTAAACTAGAGAAATTGTAATTGAATGCTGATTGATAATTCATATTAAGCAAATTATTACATTACCGTTACATCACTAAAAGTAGCTTTTCAAGTCAAAACAAACTACTAAAATGTCTCAAAACCCTTGGATTTTGTTCTTTCTCTGCCAGTGAGTCAGACTCTGCCTGTGCTATGCTAGAGTCAAAACGTCATGGACAGACGTCGATGTAGGTGCTCGTCGTTCTCAGACACATTACAATGGCTGGACTTTGATCTGGGCCAGCATTGTTCAGTCCACAAAGTGCTCTCTCTTCTCCCTCAATGATGTAAAGTGCTTAACAGCACAAGTGAACTTGTGCTCATAGATGGGAGGGAATGAGATCAACAATTTATGTTCAATGAATGGGAGACAAGACACTGCTTACTATGAGTTTGTTTGTTTTGTTGATAGGGACAAACAGCAACAGTAAGTCTTCCTAGATGTTATCATCACACTTTTCTTGTGGTTAGAAGGGAGTTCAGAGAACCTCTTTCCTACTATAACACCAGAACCAAATAATTTGTTTTGTAGATTTTTCCATTTGGAAAAAAACATGGGGATTGTATTTACAGTCAGGGCAAAGGCATGGAGGGAAAACCCAAGCTTGTGGTTAAATGAGCCTTTTCTGTTACAATGAGTCAAAGCACAGCTGATTACTGTAGTGTGGGGAACGTAAAACAAATTAGACAGAAACACACTCTTACACTGAGTGAAAGACTATGGATTAAGCTAACTGTTGTCTCTTTGATTACAGTAAAATCACAAAAGCACACATTCCAAGAATTCTTTAGTATAATTTCAAACCTTTTTTTCCTGTACAAACTTTTGAGGACCTTGTTAAGTCATTTGAATGTTACCTGTATTAATTATCAACTATATTTGAATATATTCAAAAGGAAATATACCAGTGTCTGAAAAGCAGAACATGCATAGGCTTTGGACTTTGGCTATATTTTGAAACTTCAATTCAAATGATAATTAGACACTACATAAGAAATAGTTTCCCTCCTTTAAAATAGAACATATAATGTACAGTCAGATGGATATTATCTCAAAATGAATCCAGACAGGGTGATCAGAATCTTTCTGAAGAGATTTATTTTCTGATAATGATCAGCTGACTGTTCATTATCCCCCTAATTTTATGGCTAATTTAAAAAAAAAAAAAAAAGGGACATGAAATACTTTCAGTATTACTTTCTTTTTTATATGTGAGATGAAAGACACTGCAGAATGACGCAGAAACATGAAACCAGCTCAGTGTAGGAGGACTTGTTGCCAGGGACAACAGTAAACTGTTTAGTGTTCATTATAAAAGAATATTTGACTGTGAAATGCTGTGATTGACCAATCAGAATCAAGTATTCCAGATATATGAGTAATGATGTATGATGATGTGCAAATCTATAGACTTCCATTCTTGCAAAGTGCAGAATGAAGAATAAATCAAATATTCCTAAGAAAGATTTGAATGAATAATAGATGACATTTATTTTCCATCTCCTTCAGAGATGTCATGCTCATCCAGTCATACACATACAAAAGGTTCTATAGCATCCACATATATGCACACAAACAAAACCGATGACTACCGACTCTGAGTCATCCGGGGCTGTCTGTGTCCAGTAGACGCATTATAGTACAGAGAGAGAGCGAGAGAGAGAGAGAAGCTCATCTGCCCGCTGGCAACACAACAGCGCTAATCAGTCACTGTTGAGAGGAAGCTGCTGACTCGTAATCTTTGTGGGGGATGGTGTGTGCTAGTGTGTGTATTGTATGTGTGTGTGTGTACTGTACAGTGTACGGGTGTGGGGGAGGATTGTATGTAGAGTGTACATGTGTGTCTGAAGGGGATGATCATGGCTCTTAGTTAGGAAGTGTGTCCACTTAGGAGAGAAAGGAACAGATACGGAATGAGGGAGAGATTTAATTCAAACCAACGATGGATTTTTTTTTTTTAAAGCAAGATCAGTCAGCGTAACCTTATCATACAAGCATTAATAAAGACCCTTGAATTAGTGAATATTCATGATAATTTGTGGGAGTTTTAAAATTAAGCATTATTGTGAATAGTACAATTATTTTAATGCATTTTTTTCAATTAAGTTTCTTAAGATGTTTTAATTACATCTCTGATTTATGTTTCAGTAGCAAAAATGGCATTAGTATTCAATTCATATCCAATAATAAATTAAAAATGTTGAATCAAATGAATTCTTTAAATCGATCATTGAAATGAATGTTTAAATTAATCAAAATTCTTTGCATGATACTTTTCATATATTCAAATATTCCGGTAAAAATGTAGATATGTGGCTGAATATTGCTGTTGTTATACTGATGCATTTAAATAAAAATAATTCGAATTTAACATTTTAAATGTACTTGGCTCTGATTTAAAAAAAGAACAAATGCAGAACACCAAATACAGACATTGCTTGTAACATAAATACCAGAATTGATACACTAGTTAAGAAAACTATGATTATTCATTTTACAATAGAAGAGAAGGAGATTGGAAATCAACCCTTTCAATAGATATCTAGAAAATAAATTGAATATCATCAAAAACCTGAAAATCTTTTACATTTGCCCAACGTTTTGTGACAGAAGGTGGAGAGAGACAGTAATGCCGGGAGGTGTAAAGGTATGGAGAGGCTATGCCTGACAAACAGCTCTCTCTGCTGGGGAAAAAAGTGCTGAAATGTGTTTTTCAGCTGACATCAGCAGACAGCATCGGCTGCGCCATCTGTGACTGCTACTACAAGTGTCTCTGTGACACGCACCCATCAGCCTGATGGAGACAAAAGAAAAGAAGGAAGGCAAGAGGGATGGAAAGTAGTGAGGGAATGAAGAGCATGGAGCAATGGAAATGTGAAAACAAAGGGAAAGAATTAAAAGATGGAGGGGTTAGAATTAAAATGGGGTGGGGGTGGGTCATACGATCCGACACAAAGGCTTAAAGGGATAACAACACTAAAAATATAAATTCATTTATTATTTACTCACCCTCATGTCTGCATAAAAGTATAATAATCCAAATATTACTCTCTGTGTGATGAACAGATTGAAATCTAGAATGAATTTAGACATTTATTCACTGACTACCTTCTAGAAGAAGTCAGAAGATATTTTGAAAAATGTTGGTAACCCCACAGCTTCAGTTCCTATTGACTTCCACCTGAGCGGACAGAAAATACAATAGAAGTCAATGGAACTGAAACATACAGGTTTGGAACGACATGAGTGCGAGTAAATGATGATAGAATTTTAATTTTTGGATGAAGTATCCCTTTAACTGCTGTGACTAGATCAGTGAGACATCAGAACTGGTTCAGTCCAATTCATGAAGCAATCAATTATGAACAAATAATTACGAATAGGTTCAACCAATTAAATGAAAAGATCCAACTCAAAAGAATGATTCTAACATTTTTGGGTGAACGATCCCTTTAACCGTGTAGCGCTACAAAGACAAACAACAAAAGAGAAGACAAAAGGTGCTCACAGAAGAGGAAAAATAAAGCACTATTGCAGCTCATTAAGGGACAGACTTTGACATATGAGCCACTGGACCTGTTAACAACATTTATTATGTGGGAAACAGACAAAGGAGCAAATTTATCTCTATGACAGATCTGGGCCATTTATGCTAATTCCGACTACAGACTATTCTCCCTCACTGGGCCTCAAAAGAGTCATATTGTTACAAAGCAGGAAATTACATGAATTTTACATCATGCATCCTGACAACTCCTGACTATTCGGGAATTGTGCCAAGCGATTCCTTCCATAAAAAGGTCACGGAATGCTATAAACCCCTCACACCTGCCCTCTCGTTCATTCATTCCCCCTCTCTTTGATCTTCTGCCTTTCCTCTCTCAGTAGCAGAGATGGCTAATTTATGTAAATTCGCTCCACCAAATTCCTGCATGTCATGAATGTTAATAAGGCAAAGATCCGCATGACAATGGATGTCTGAAAAATACAAAACCTCTACTAAAGACGGGACGCCAGTGATATGAAATCTGCTGACTAACCTGACATTAAATTCCAAATGCAGACACAGACAAATGAGCCACGCTGCAGCACAAAGTCACGGCTCATGCTGAACGCGAATGTGCGGGGCCACGGTAAGGGCATTTATTGGCTGTGCTTCAAAACCTACTGAGACAGCATTTTTGAGCATCATAGGCAATTCGTAGGTTCGTACACAAAGTTGGAGAAGGCAGATCAGTGGGTTTTGAAACACAGACCTTCAAAATGACCACAAA